GCTTTGAACAGTTCCGAATCGTGCACTCTATACTGCTTGGTAGGGACTCCAGACAACACATGGTTTGATCACCAGATATTTCGTAAGCACCTAAAGGCAGCCCTAGCCTGCTTGATTCGTGCATCTACGCCGCTCTAGGTCCCGTCGTCTAACGCTAACGGGTGGCAACTAAAATTTTTGAATTTCTTTCTCAAGCTGTCAAAAAAAGACAAACATACTTGAAGAAGATCTGATTTATTGAAATAAAAGATACATTGTCCATTGTTGAAAAAAAATAGTGAACATTTGAAAACGGTCCGTAATCGGATGTTCGGCGAAGCTTCCGTTTGATGTCGGAACAGGAGCGTTGTACGGCCTTCATGTCAACTTTGCGAATGCATCTCTTGATTCTACCAATCAACTGTTTGCAATTCGTGGCTCTCCAGTTATTTTTGTACACCAAGAAGCTCAAAACCCCGAAGAAATCTTCGATTGGGCGACACTGAGGCAGATTTGTCGGGTTGTGGTTTTTGGGTACAAATGGGATCGAATGGGTATTCAGGAACGATTGTGTTTTTTTGGCGTAATGCGATGACGCTTTATCCGGCCAAAACACGTATTGTCCATCAGCATGATGTTTTTGTAGAAACGGGATCAAAATTTTCTTCAAACATTCGTTCTGGTACACATATTGATTGATTGCCAAACCAGAGGGCTTGAACCATGGCACGAGAAAGAGAACGAAGTCCTTTTGCGTTCATAATTTTGGCTGGTCTTCCACTACCTTGCTTGCGAGCAGTTGTTGGGGATCTTAGGATATGGTAAACAGTCGAAGCTGCAACATTTTCGCTTTTAAAATGTTGTACCGTATACTTTTTGCCGAGATTTCTGTGCAGTTCGTAGAACTGTACAACGCGCTCGCGAAATACTTCTTGTTTCGACGGCATTTTGAGCAAAACTGAGCAAGCATAAACAAAACAGAAAGAGGAGAGAGAGAGCTAACACATTCACACTCTTATTTCTCTCTGAGCTCGTTTGTTGTTGAGCATAGAGGCCTCGAAAAAATTCCAAAATTTTAGTTGCCACCCGTTATCTTCTTCATTCCTTTATTTAACGTCGGTCTCTGTTTCGTAATCTAGTGCCAATCACCGACGGACATCGATTGCCATCCATTGACGGCAATCGAATGTGCAGGAAAGCAGCTTCCACACCTGCGTAGGATATTGCACCCATTCAACACACATGGGCCGGGACCAACGGGTTTACTTCCTTTCCCGTAGCAAGACGTGACCAGAGATTTTTGTGCGTCAGAAAAATCCCACCGACTTCGGCTGGGATTGAACACAGACCCATTGGGCGGCGCCAGCATCTAACGCTATCTAACTGCCAAGATATTGGAAACTTTCGACTTACTCAACTGCTGGCCTGCTACCGTTAATTTGGAAGGGTTGTTCGTGCTGACATCCAACGATCTTGTGAACATTGATGGTAATACCCATCGCATGCTTTACTCTCTATAAAAAGCATTGAACACAGAATTAAATTCATTTCATTACTAGAACGTTCTCAAAGGATCAGAGAGCAGATATCCAGGAAGTATTGATACAACATTGGGGAAAATATCTGATGAAGACGTGTTGCCAAAAACTTGATGGCACTGTAATACTTCTCCCGAGGAATTCCCAGACTACCAGAATGCACGTATATTCAAAGTTGTTTTTGTGATGTACAAACATATATACAAACAAACAAATCGTATAGAATGCAAAGAAATGGCTTATACGTACAAAAGTGGAGGCCATATACATGCAATTTTTTATTTAATTTTAAATGGGTTGATTTAACATCATATACGATTTAATCTGTAATAACACATTCACTTTGAAAAGTCATACGATGTAATCCGATTTGATTTGTGATAAAGTACGACGAAAAAATGAATCATCGCATATTGGTCGGAAATTTCATTCTATACGATTTAACTTAAACACAATGCGATGCATGCCGTTCTTATATGCGATGTTGACTTTAACTGTAGCAATTTACGATACTGTCTGCACATTGTTATACGACTTCTGGTTGTCTGGGTTCTCATTAGCATTCCCTAAGAAATTTACCCTTGTAGTAGATAACAAAAATGAAATTCTCCATAGAATTCCTTTAAAACTAGCTTAAGATTCAGATTCCTTTGAAAAACTCTTCGAAATTCTCTTGGTTTTCGTGTCAGAATTCCTTTGGAGCTCTTGCCAGAATTATCTTGGAATAGTAATCAAAATTCCCTTTGAACTGTCCTAACATTGCGTTGGATTTATCATCAGAATTCATTTTGAATTCTCCCAGAGCTTGTTTTAAATTCTCTTCAGAATTTCCTTATAATTCTCCTGAACTCATCATAATCACCTTAAATTCCACCTCAGAATTACCTACTAATCTCATAACTACCAAATCCAACTCGCCATAGAATTCGCCTAAATTTCTCCTTACAAAACCCGTGGAATTCTTTTCAGAAGCACCTAGGAAGTACCTTCGAATATTTATAGGCTTACTTTTCAAAATTCCCTAGGCATTCTCTTCAGAATATCCTTGGGATTGTCCCAATTTCTAGGGGGTTCTAAAAGTTGTGACAGTACGTTCAATAAGTATGGGGGAACGCGTAACGACACAACATGGAACAGTGGTCAAAATTCCCTTTGAACTGTTCTAAATTTGCGTTGGAATTATCCTGGGAGTTCTTTTTGAATTGTCCTAGAGCTCGCTTTAAATTCTCTTCAGAATTTCCTTAAAATTCTCCTGGACTTCTCACAGTCATAACTACCAAATCCAGCTCTCCAAAGAATTCGCCTAGCAAAACCCGTTTAAGTCTTACCTAATACACCTAATTAGTATCGTCGAATTCCCTTAAAAATATTTTTCAAAATTCATGCATGCTTACTGTCGAATTGTCCATACACATTTAAAAAAAAAAAATATGGGTCGTGGATACTTGCCACCCCCTCCCCTAAATTGTCTACGTAGTTAATGAACAGTCCATAAGCACATTGTCTAAGTCTAAGCAGTATGTCCCTGGAATTATCCCAATTTATAGGAGGATCTAGAAGTTGTGACAGTACGTTCAATAAGTATGGGGGAACGCGTAACATAAAGGGTGGGGGGAAGGGGATTTACTATTGAGGGAGTTAGAAGGAAAGGGGTGAAAGTGACTATGATCGATTCTCTTCATCGACTTTCCCTTTCGTTAATAATTCAGCTGCAAACACATTCCTTGATTCGTGTGCCATTCTGGATGCTAGATGAGAACCTCCTTTATCAAACTATGTGGCAGAAATAGCGCAAAATCTGTTTATTAAGCTGTGGCTATCAAAAGAAAAAGTCGATGAACAGCCCGGGAACCCCGCGAATAAGATAAATAGTTGTTAATAGTTAAGAAAGGCACATGGGAACTATAGGCAGTGCAACGTCGTTGGGTAGGGACTGAAGGAAAACTCGTACGGCACTGAGCATTCACAGAGCAAAGGAAAAGCCGCCGCCATCTTAGAAGGGCCAACAATGAGAGAATCTTTGCTCAGATGAGCATGCCCTGGAAGGCATATCTTAGCCAACTTCCTAGCAAGACCAACAATTTAAAAGGCCTCAACTCCATTTTGTAAACAAACCTTGTTTGACTTTTTTCGCGAACCGAAGTCCGCCAACGCAAGCCAACAAAAGGTGTAGGGGAAATTCTCATCTTCCCGAGTGTGTGTTAGGTTTACGGATGTAGGTTTCGGTTCGCGAGAAAATGGCCTTACAAGGTTTGTTTACAAAATGGAGTTGAGGCCTTTTCAATTGTTCAATCTTGATCTCTTCCCTTGATTTGTCCCCTAGATATTCACCCATATTCTTGTTTTCGTTCGAACCGTTCGATCCATAAAAAAAAGGTGGTTTGTATGGTGCGAACGAAAACAAGAGCATGGGTGATTCTTTGATTTTTTCCTTTCCTTGACATATGGCATTCATTTAAACCTTAATAGCTTAAGGACAGAAATTCGAAATTCACTGATGCATTATACTGCCGCTATTCGTTTAGAAGTCCCATGTCCTGCGCATTTCCAATCTACACACTTAGATTTTTTTGCCGAGATGGGCACCACCGAGCAGCTCGGCATTTTATTTTGCTGGAAATTCAGCAAAAATATGTTTGTTAGCTGAGATCTCGGCAAAATTCCCGTTTGTTAGCTGAATCTCGGCAAGTTTTTCACTGAGATCCAGCAAAATAAAATGCCGAGCTGCTCGGTGGTGCGCATCTCGGCGAAAAAATCTAAGTGTGTACGTGGGACTGTTATGCGAATAGCGTCAGTATATATTTGACTGCGATCATTTGCAAATCAGGTTCTAAGAGAGAAAAAACGGCATTTGATCGAAATGCCAACGTTTTTGCATCAAATTCAGATTCCCGATCTCTAAAAGATGAAAAACAACATGTCAGGATCACCGCAATGATAATCCAAACATGGAAAAAGTTGAAAGCAAAACATAAATCACGGGAAATTTGTCCGTAGGTAGGTATAAATAGAGAGCTCCCGGATTTCATGATTGATGACGTCTTTGCTTCGAACGAAGCAAAAAAACAATCAAACTCAAACAAACAAAAACATCTCTGTTGGCAAAAACTGCTAGATCAACTAACACCTCGCAGCTGGAAATTACACCGTCATGATTGATAACTAATCAATAGATGAACAGCCACGGTGGATTTCAAAATTCCGGTTCAAGGGAATTGCTTGCACACCATTTGAGAAAAAAAACACAAACCTGCCCAGTTCCTAGCTGTTAAACGAAACCAGTTTCTGGATATGTTGAGAAGGTTTTAGTAAACCAGTATCGGTCGATAAGCATTGATGATCTACCTATTTGTTAAAGAAAAAAAAAAAGAAAACTGACGAGCTTCGACATTGACCAGCAATGTCGTTTCTGTTGATAAGACAAATTTCAGCAAACACAAGGGAAATGTAACTTAAACAAAATAAAAGTAAGAGAACACAAGCTTTGTAAGACCAATAGTTTTTCATCTGTATTTACGAACTCTTTCTCTTCGTTTTAACATGTTTTCTTCTTCTTCTTTCCATCCATTTAAAATTGTTAAATTAAAAAACAAATAATGCTTCACGTTTTCGCTCTTTCGCCTACACTCTAGGTTCCTCTCGGCTATGTACAGGTAGTTCGTTAAAAGAAGAAAACTATATTAATAATCATAAATATATGGTGTGTTCTTGTTTTAAAGTAAGAATAAAGATAATAGCATTTAAAAAATTAAATAGGTCAACTCTTAAAATAGAGTTATCTGATTTGTTTCACTTCTCGCGTTTCAAAGTTTTTCTTATCCTTTTTCTTTATACAAAAAAAAATGTTTCAATTCGGGCTATGATGCTCTGCGAATTTCACCTTATAAACTGGCTTATATACGTTAGCAACTGTTTGCCTTCTGGCGGTTATGTAAGAATTTGTTTGTAGTAATTATTCAAGCGCGCCTTTCCGCCGCACGTTGAAATATAAAAATCTTAACTAATTAAAAAATCTTTCCGTAAAACAAACATATCAATTGTAAGGGATTTTCCACCTCTTGCCTACTGCATAAGCTTGTATTTGTGTACCTTCTTAAATCGATTATTCACATTATTTCGCTTCTAACTTCCGCTGTTGCTTTAAATTAATTCTCACTAAGAATTACGATGTTCTTCCTTTCTGCTACAAAACTAGTTCTTCTTATTGCATTTTCACTGATGCAATTTTTCTCAAGAAAAAAGGAAACATACAAATGAACAGTGTGTTTGTGTGTGTGATTTTAAATCCCGCTCCATTCGTCCGATGGGTTTGTACGAGATACGCCAAAAAAGAGAACTTCTCTTGTCACTAAAAAATGCCCCACAATCGAACGGGTTCGTTCCCCGGGGGGAGGAGCAAGCTTTTATGTGTTTGTGGTTTTTCTTGTTTCAACTTATACTATTTTGATTATGTACAACAATTGTTCCTGTTATTGTATCCCAAAAAACGGTTTCCGTATAAAACTTCCTCCTTTTCTCTTCATCATGCTAGTTTTACCAACAGTTTTGTCAAAATCCCTTAGAGATTCATTCCCTACTCCTATAAAAAAATGGTTTAACTGGTTGAACTTCCGCTGCGAGAACCATTCCTTTCTGTCTGTAGAACGACAGTGGCAAAAAGTTCAATGATTTCACTCAAGTTCACGGCGAGTTCCGGCATGGCCCAACTCCCAAACAATGGATTGTGCTGAAGGCTGAGCAGTTGAAAAACTGGATGCGGCCGCTACCAACTGACCATGCTGCTGTTGTTGTTGTTGATGACGATAGTACAAGGGTTGCTGTGGCGCAGCGCCATGGGAACTGGGCAAGTCCTGTTGGTAGAGGGCGATACTGTTGTTTCTGTTGTCACTGCTGCTGCTGCTATTGTTATAGTACAAGTAACGGTAGGAGGACGTCATCAACTCATCACTAGTAGTAGAACTTCCAACATCATGCTGATGATGTTGATGGTGGCTCTACGTTTCGCGTTCCTTTTTCACCTTCAGCTCCTCGCCAAGGATCGTGGCGATTTCGCCCTGCATGAACGCCCACGGTATCGTCGAGTTGGCCAGCGGGCACTTCTCGCCACTAGGACAGTACACCTCGGCGCCAGAGCCCTGTAGATGGAAAGGAAAGGAGATAGGCGTTAGAGTTTAGCTGTGAGCTGGATTTATAACCTATGAGCTCGGATGCTGCGTGTTTAGACACATTGATTCTATAACATTCCCCAGAATGAACCATTCCCCCAGAATACCATTCCCCAGAATGTACCATTCTCCAGAAAAGTATGCCATGTATTAGATTGACTATTTTTGTTTATTATAGTCACTCCTGGAATCTTCTTTCGCGTATATAAAAAGAAGAGAAAAACTTCTTAATGGATCAAGGGCTTTTCCCTTCTTTGAAAATATAAGAAAAGGAAATAATTTATTCTTTGGATATACGATAAAGAAGGGAATATTCCCTTCTTTTAATATATAAAAGAGAACATAATTAATTCGTTAAATATACGATAAAGAAGGGAATATTCCCTTCTTTTAATATATAAGGAAAATATATAATCAATAGTTTTTCGCAAAGGATTCGGGGTAATGCCCATTCGGGATAATAACGTGTGGAATAATGTTTTAAATTTGTAATCGGTAGTTCAACGTTCCATGCCCCGATTTTTTAATCCATCACGAGAAATTCTTCAACTCAGGTCGAACAATTCAGTGCCTACATTTCAAAGGGGCGTAATTGCATTTGTAAACAATTGCTTTACCCGTTGATTTCTCGCGAATAAAAGCTCACTCATGAAAAATAATGACACCAACAGGTAGAGGAATGTTTCCTCTACTAGCTAGCATTGGTAATTTGGAGGGGCGAGCTTTTAGTTGCGAGAAATCGACGGCTAAAGCCATTGTTTACAAAAGCAATTACGCCCCTTTGAAATGTTGGCACTGAATTCTTCGACATATAGAGTTGTTGTTATTCACATCGTCGTGATTTTGCCCTGCTAAATTTGTTAATTTTTTATCACACGGGCTATCGTTATTCGTTTTTTTCCGTTCGGTATACTTGTAATATTGTACTGGTTGTTAGTGGAAAGTGTAGTTCGTTGCGATAATCGTCTTATTAGAGCATATTTTGTGTTGTGAAAACAGTGAAAAAATTTCCAATCGGACATATTGTACACGACTAGCATTGGGCGATGTTGAGAATCCAATTCCTCTTTGCGTATTAGAGCATCTCCACCGCTGTTTCTAAATCACTTTTGGAAACTGAGTCAGCACCAATACGCTAAACCAGTTAAAGGCGATGAAGAATCCGTCTCCTGCATGGCTTTTTTTGCCACAGGATGATTCACCTAAAGTGCGGCGACACAAAGCTGAATAAGGCTTCTCTGAACATTGTCTACACTAGCCCGAGCCTGTTTTGGATGTGTAACGAGTGCGCGAAGCTGATGAAATGTGCTCGGTTCAAAACTGCCGTCTCGTCGTTTGGCAGTGTGATTATTTCTATCACCGAGAGACAGGAAATCGCACACGCTGAGCTTAGGAAGGAAATGGCTAAGCAAGAACAGCAGATCGCTCAGCTAACGAAACGAATCGCATTGACAACTCCGACAAACTCTGATTTCATGCGTCAACCGCCATTAAAACGGCGCCGCGATGAAGTCGCGCTCACTAACAAACCACTTGTTGGTGGTTCTAAAGCAGTAACAGGCGACAATGCCTTTACTTAGCTGTTTTGGCTGTACCTTTCTCGTATTCATCCTAGCGTGAAATCGGAATCAATCGAGAAGCTGGTGAAAGGTTGTGTACGGTGCGAAGATCCGATTAAGGTTGTGCCGCTAGTCATCAGCCGTATGAGCTTCATCTCGTACAAAGTCGGAATGGATCCCAAACTACGCGAAGCTGCTCTTAGATCGGATACATGTTCCGTGAATTTGAAGACGGTTCAAAAAACATGTGGTTGCCTCCTTTGAACACGCCTACCATCACTATCTCTCCTATTACGGGACCTTCCGAGTTCTCAACTCCCATTTCTGGACTCGACCCTGTCTGTTGTTTCAGAATTGGATTTTGCGTTGTGAATTGAAGCGCTGTAGACCAGAACGCAATGCTTGTCGCATTATGGGAGACCTCGAATCACTCGATCCAGTCGCGCTAGCTGTTTCCCGCCATCAAAGTCGTTCTATTTCCTGACATCAGAGTCGTTCTGGCCCTGCGGTCGAGTTCGGTGGTGGGGTCTCCCAAGCATCGTCTTCAGGCAAGTATGCATACATTAATTACAGTCATTTGCCTGATCAGTTTCCGTGTTCCAGTGCGACGCTTCAAGCACCTGCCGGCTGTTTCCAGTTGAGAAGCACTTTTGATACTACTCATTCACAACATCCGCTTTACTGTTCGAATAATCCTAATTCATCTCCGGGACGCACAATAGACCGCTCTTTGGAAGCTCCTGGTTACTCCAGCCCAGTCGTGCCGATTCCTGCCAGCGTTCAGCATAGTCGTCCTGGACCTTGTGGCTGGATATGAATCAGGAGTCTTCCACCTTGCCTCTACAAGCAAGTACAATCAATATATTGACTATTCACTGCCTGATGCCGATCAAATTTTCAGCAATTCTGACTATGTTAGCCATTGTGATGATGCCTCCCAATCCTGGAAACCCGGAACGCGCCGAAGAAAACCCCATGGAAGCCCCAATCCCTCCGTCTCAGTCCTGCCATCAGCAGCCTTCGTTCATCGTAGTCGTTCCGGACCTGCTGTCGGATGTGGAGAGGGGGTCTTCCAACCCACTCACTATGGCGAGTATCCAATGAGACTTGATGATGGTCAGTTATTGCCTGATGTATCTGTGATTTCCAGGGAGAGCAGTCGTTCGATTCCTTGCCGCAAGCAGGATGTCGTGATCTTCTACCAAAACGCCGGTGGAATGAATTCTGATGTTGAAGAGTACCGCCTAGCTGTATCGGATTGTTGCTACGATATTATTGTCCTGTGCGAAACGTGGCTCGATTATCGAACGCTTTCCAGTCAAGTCTTCGGTCCTGACTACGAGGTCTTTCGTTGCGATCGGAATCCTAACAACAGCCGTAAATCTACTGGTGGAGGTGTCCTTGTAGCTGTCCGTAGCGGGTTGGAGGCAAAGGCCATCGAGCACGATTCATGAAACTATGTGGAGCAGGTTTGGACAGCCATCAATCTGGGAGATCGCATACTATTTCTATGCGCTCTGTACATTCCACCTGATTGAGTGAACTCATTGATACTCACTGTCGGTCAGTTTTCACAATTGTCGAAAGTGCCACTCCAGTTGATGAGATATTCATTTTTGGTGACTTCAATCTGCCAGGCGTTTCGTGGAGTCCATCTCACAGCCGATTCCTGTACCCAGATCCTGATAGCTCTACATTTCATGCAGGAGCTATTAGCCTTCTCGACAACTACAGCGCAGCGACGCTTTCGCAAATTAACCATGTAGTTAACGAAAATGGTCGCTCTGCTTCGTGAGCACACAGGACAGGGCTCCATTCATTTCCTCGGCTCCTTGTGCACTAGCTAAGCTAGTTCCACATTACCCTCCTCTAATTGTCACTGTTGAGGGCAAACTCGTGCGTGATTTCGACGCTATCCTGCTACGGTTTCTTATGACTTCCGTAAAGCTGACCACCGTAGCATCATAGATGTATTGCCTAGCATGGTATGGGAGAACATCCTTGATCCAGATGACGTTGAGGCTGCAGCGCAAACCTTTTCACATGTATTGGCATATGTCATTGACAGACACGTCCCGAAAAGAACTCACCACAAAGTGTCTCACCCTCCCTGGCAGACGAGAGAGCTACGTAGGTTGAAGTCAATCAAGAGAGCAGCATTGAGAAGATTTACGAAGTATCGCACGCTTCCTCTGAAACTACATTATGTGAGGCTGAATCACATGTACCAGCGAGTCAGTGGTGAATGCTTTTCAAGTTTCCAACGAGGCATCCAGCGCAAACTTTTGGAACTACGTGAACGAGCAACGCAGGGAATCCGGCCTCCCATCGTCTATGGAATTCAACGGAGAAGTTGCTGCTACTGTTCAGGATATATGCCACCTTTTTCCGAAAAGTTTGCCAGTGTATTCACTAATGAGATACTAACTGACGACCATATTAACCTGGCTGCCAGGAACGTTCCAGTAAACGATCAAACGCTGTTTGCAATTGATGTTAATGCTGAGATGATTTCTAAGGCCGCGGCTCTGCTCAAGTCATCCTTCAATCCTGGACCTGATGGAGTTCCATCTGTATTTTTGAAGAGACATATTGCTAGCTTGTTAATTCCGCTTCTTCACCTGTTCCGAATGTCTCTCTCAGGTGGCATATTTCCATCTTGCTGGAAATTTGCGCACATCTAGATAGAGCTAGAATTAGGGCGTAACAGCTTTTGTAAACAATGACTTCTATCGATGATTTCTAGGAATTCAAGGCACACTCACGCAAACCAACCTAACCATCCGATAGGGAAAATCTTTCCCTACCCGATGAGGATGTTTGTTTGCATGGGCGAGCCTTTAATTTCAAGAAATCGTCAAGAGAAGTCATTGTTTAAAAAAGCTGTTAGGCCCTAATTCCAGCTCTATCTAGACATGTTTCCCGTCCACAAAAAAGGAAGGAAACGAGCTGTGGATAACTATCGAGGAATTACATCGTTAAGTGCTATTCGAGCTAGTGATTATGGAACCGTTGCTGTCCCATTGCAAGCAGTATTTGAGTGCTGATCAACATGGGTTTACTGTCGGCCGCTCTACAACCACCAATCTGCTGTGTCTCACATCGTATATAACCGAAAGCATGTCGGATCGGGTTCAAACGGACGTTATTTATTCAGACCTATCCGCAGCATTCGACAAGTTGAACCATGCTATTGCGATTGCTAAACTCGGCAGGCTCGGTGTATGCGGTAATCTTCTGAGTTGGTTTCGATCATATCTTACCGGTGGTCGGCAACTCAAAGTTGCCATAGGAGATTGCAGATCAGCTAGCTTCTTCGCCACATCAGGTATACCTCAGGGAAGCCACATGGGACCGTTAATTTTTATACATACTGTACTTCAACGATGTGCATCTGGTCATCGAAGCTCCTCGGTTATCATATGCAGATGACCTCAAAATCTTCCTACGGATCTGCTCCATTGCTGACTGTCACTTTCAGAACAGAATGGTAGTGAACCCAGCCAAATGCTCCGCTATTACGTTCTCACGAAAACAACAACCGATAATACTTAACTATGACCTGCTTGGCTCGACAATCGAATGCGTGAATCAGGTGAAATACTTGGGTGTGATCTTGGATTCGCAGCTTTCATTCAAGCAACACATTGCATATGTTGTTGATAAGGCGTCAAGAACTTTAGGGTTCATTTTTAGGATAGCTAAAAACTTCACTGATATCTACTGTCTAAAATCTCTCTATTGTTCGCTTGTTCGATCGACGCTTGAGTATTGTTCAGCGGTTTGGAACCCAAACTACAACAACGGTGCCGAGAGAATTGAATCTGTTCAACGTCGCTTTCTTCGCTTTGCGTTGCGTAGATTGCCTTGGAATGATCCGTTTCGATTACCCAGTTACGAAAGCCGTTGTCAACTTATCGACCTAGAACTTCTCCGGACTAGAAGAGACACAAGCAGAGCCCTAACCGTGGCCGATATCCTGCAAGGAAGGACAGATTGCGAGGCTATCCTGAGGCAAATTGACCTGAATGTTCAACCGCGACGGCTTCGTAATAACCTTATGCTAATACTGCCTGCGTACGGTGCGATTTGGGGACTGCAGAGAACATTCAACAGAGTTTCATCTGTTTTCGACTTTCATCTCTCCCGTGATGCGCTTCGTCGAAAGTTTTCTTCTGTTTTTCGCCGGCAGAGTAACTGACTATAAGATATATGTTTTTTAATGTTTTTTATGTTATGACCATGCTTGAATGTATTTTTTTTACCATAGTTGATAAGGTTAACATCATGATGTAAAACAACAATAAAACAACAATAAACCAATTACAATTAACTAGTGAAGAAGATAAGGTTTAACAGTTTCCGACTGATTGAATTGGATTGCATAATAGACCCTTTGACTTTTTAAATGATGCACTTCGAAAACTTGCAGGTTGTCTTTTTCTAAAGAGCTATAAAATGGTTTGGAATTGATAAATACATAGTTCCATAAAATATGTATATTAAGCTGTTCTGTAATATCAAATAATAATAATCTTTTCTGGGGAATGGTGCATTCTGGGGAATGCTTTTGTGGGGAATGGTGCATTCTGGGGAATGTTAAAGAATCTAGTTTTTTCACTATTTTAAGAATTAGTACTTCTTGGAAAATACAGCCACATAACCGTAGAAACGTGTTTGTTTTTTTTTTCGAAGAACACTCAAACATTCCAACCGATTCCAACACACTCACCTGTCGCTTGATGCTCTCGCGGCTGCAGGGGAAGCAGAACTTGTGATGCCCGACCGAGGGACACTGCACGAAGTGGGTGTCTTCCAATCGTTCCTGGCAGAGGGTACACTTGAGCGTCGGATTCGGAGCGGGAGCGGGCGCATTTCCACCGGGTGCACTGTTTGGTGCCGGTCCGTTGATTCCCGGTGGCGCTCCGGGTCCCGGCGGTCCAGGTCCCAGGGGACCTGGTCCACCCGGACCACCAGGCGCTCCGCCAGGTCCTGCACCACCGACGCCATCCGGGGGCGGTTGCGAACCGGGCTGTGACTGCGGTTGTTGCGGGCCTTGCTGCGCTATTGAAGGTGCCCCCAGGGGTCCCAGTGTGACCGGTGTCGTACTGCCATTACCGTTCGGTCCATTTCCGTTGGGAGTGGAAGCACCGCCCGAGTTGGACTGCGCTGCCTCCGTTGATGTGACTGTTGTACTGGAAACGTGCCGCGAACCGGATGATCGTCGACCACTAGAAGAACCTGCAAGGGAGGAGGTGTTAGGTTATTAGTATCAGCATAATACGATCAAGCAGAACGAAAGCAAAACAGAAATCGTACAGCTAAAAAAACTCAAGCGTGGTGGAGTTTGTTTTTGATGCGCGATAGCTGTAAATTGTAACGGAGGGTGGAAATCAAACACGTCGACTATAAAGTGACAATCTTCTACAGAGGGTGATATAATGAGCGCAATGGAGTTGATTTTTTTTTTAAAAAGGAAGCCACCTACCGGAACTGTTTGGCGAATGTTGAGAACCTCGGGAAGCCGTTCGTGGTGGCGGCGGTCCCGGTGGGCTTGGACCGTTACGTGGGCTACCCGGCGGCAGGGTTTCGGTGATCGACATTAGATTAGCCATAGGGCTTTGTAGTGGTGCCACCGACGATGGGGTCGGTGGTGTAGAATCGCCCATCGAAACCGGCGGAATCGGTATCACGGTCGGGTACACTACACGGAGGAAAGAGAGAGAGAGAGAGAGAATAGAAAAACTTTTAGCCAAATCTCTTATTTCATGCGGTTCATAGAATTTCATTCGAATCGTCCTACAGGAAAGTGTCCCGATCGCAAATCAAATTTCGCTGACGTGATGCGCTTATTTACAAACAGTGCAATTATATAACAGCAAAAACAGAGTTATTAAACCGTTCAACGGAGTTGTTTGGGTATTCAATTTACAATTTTCTAAACAGAGACTTTTAGGCAGCAATCGCGAGCACAATAGTAGAATTATTCGGTGCTGATTAGCGTGCTTATCAGCTGAAACGTATACCTTTTTCACGCTGGCTGCTGATAAGCGAACTGCATGCCACACAATCTCGCATTGAAACGACACACTGCCTGATAATGGCCAAGCAGCTGAAATCAAAGGAAATATTTCTTTGGTGGTGAGATAAGCGCGGCCGCAGTCGGTCATCAGTGTGTTGATAGTAAACAGAACGCTCCACTTATATGTGAGGTACAATCAGAGCCATTATCGCAAAAGCGCGCGGGACTATCAACGAACAGAAGGAAAATAAAAACATCCTTCAAAACCGCCATTCGGTCAATAGCACAGTGTGTACAGCTGAAGCGAGCAAAAAACAGCGTGTCGAGATCGTGCGCCGGAACGTGGTCGTTAGTTTCAGTTTTTGTTTTGCTCTCCGCTAGGAATAGGTATACAATTACGATTTGCTGACTCCATAACTTGGGATTGCGTCATATATGAGATTGAGAGAGACGGAGACTGGGGTTGTAAACTGAGAAAGCTTGATCTGTTTTGTGTACATGGATTTTTTTTATTCTGCTGGAGGTAGCACGTTGATGAAGGCCATTTGCGTCAGACCGAATTCAGCCACGTGATTATGTAGGTATGGAGTTGATGTCCTTGATATTCATTTCGCGCAAGAAGGAGTAGGTGCTGTTGTGCCAGTTATCAACCGGTTTGAATGTAGATCATGAAATTGCTATTGGAAGTTCTTAGAACTTGTTGAAATTGGCAAAGGGGTTGTTGTTATTATAAAGATCTCGGAGCAGCCAATTTTGATATTGCATTCCATAGATTTTTCATACTAAGGACACAACATCGAAGGCATCATAAACAAGAAAGTCGTTTGAGCTACCGATTTGTAAATTCGAATCTTGACAATGGCGTAGGTGAAACTTCATCATAGGAAGAGCGGACATCCCAATCGTTTTGTGCTTCACAACGGGTAGTAAAACATAGTAATTACTTAATAACATATTAAAAGATGTATCGATTTTATCCGGCAACTCCATAATTAATTCTGTAGAAAAAAAAACAAGATTATAAGGATGCCAGTTGAATGATTAAGCAGAATAAGGAACGATGAAAGAGGTACAATTTTTTTTTTGCCGAGATTTGCACAGCCGATTACTCGGCAACCAACTTGACTGAGATTTCTGTAAAAACGATGCTTGCCTCCAGTGATGGATCGCTCTTTTGGGACGTTTTCATTACTTTTTAATATGGAATGCTTACGTGAAATCCAATTGAAATTTCAGTTAACCCACCCTAAAAATAGATAGTTTAGTGCTATTAATCTCCCTATAAAAATTCAAAATATTCGCACCGTAGAGCTACACTCTGTGTTTTCACTGAAGCTACACTCGAGAGCGCTCTAAAGTGTACCTTCAGTAAAAGCACAGAGTGTGGCTCTATGGTGCGGATATTTTGAATTTTGATAGGGAGATTAATAGCACTAAACTATCTTCGTTAGGATGAGTTAACTAAAAATTAAATTGGATTTAACGGAAGCATTCTATATTAAAAAGTAACGAAAAAGTCCCAAAAAAGCGATCCATCCCTGCTTGCCTCCTTAGATCTAGCGAAACATTTTCCGAGACTCAGCAACCAAAATAATGTCTACTACCTTGAAAACTCTGGAAATACCTGTAAAACCAGGAATTCTCAGAGATCATCAGTTTCCCCTGGAATAATCTGGAATTCTCAGGGAATTTTGAAATTAGAATAGAATAGATTAAGGTACGCGAAAGAATCTAAATTTATTTCCTTGATTTGTTTTCCGTCGATCTTGTTTTCTGTGCTGAATACCAATGCTACCGACACCAGGAAGATAACTCCCACACCTGGACTCTACCTATCGACTCATCAACTCATGGACTGGGGACGAACGGCTGTACTTCTATTCCGTAAAGAAGGCGACGGGTTTGAACCCAGGCTCTTAGGAGTGAGCGACAGTCACGCTTGCCACTACACCACCAGCGCCACGGACTATTACTCTTTGAACATAATAATAATTCTGAAGTGGATTCATCTTCAGTAACAACCGAAATTATGCTTTTTTTAGGGTTCTGAATCATGAATATTTTTTACAGATTTTAAACTTGGACAAGTTTTTCAAACCTTAGCTAGGCCTGATAATATCAGACTTAGCGAAATTTTCAAGAATCTGGAACTAAAATTAACATTAAAGACGACGAACATTAAATATTTCCAAGAACCCAGATTTGAAAAAAAAAACTTTAAAAAACCCTTTCAATACATGAGAATCTAAAGGGAAGAATTGTTAGGAAAACTTGAAGAGAAATCTGAGGATTCCTTTCAAGTTACTGCTGTTTAACTCCAGATGAAACTTAAGGTGAAACGTAAGGTATCTGAGTATAATTCCAAGGGAATTTGAGTAGGATTCTGAGGAGGTTGATTCCAAAAGCATTTTTATAGGTATTCCAAAAAAAATTGCGCAGTTCCAGGCAAAAATCGAAAAAAAAAAAAAGAATTTATCAATCGACTTTCTCCGATTTGTATGAAACTTTGCGTAATTATTTGCAGTCGCGTCGCCCTAACATCAATCTACCTGTTCAACAACTCTCAAAAATTAAACAATATTGGTTCAAATGGATACAAATCAGTGAAATTAGAAGACCCTGTGCCATTTTAAATGGATTTGAATGTAAACATGACCCTAAATAACGTTTTCAAAGTTGTTGAAAAGCTAAAAAGTGAGGTTAAGCTACGCCACTGATTTTTTGTTGAGGACAATGATTCACATTTTTGCTAAAATTCGGCCATATTAGATCTTGTAAAATTTTCAAAATGGCGTCTTTGAAATTTAAACAAAAAATGGTTGCATGAAAACAGCATTTTTGATCGAAATGACGTCTGACACTAAGTTGTCTTTATGGCCAAAATTAACTATTTTTAAATCTTTTCAAGTAAATATTAAAAATAGACCAAATATCCAAAAATTACCTTACCAGATTGAAAAAAAAAACTTATAATACTTGGTGGAATGTTCAAACCATAGACACTTGAAAACTGACAAAAAAACTACAAGAGACAGGGGTTGTACGCAATGGTGACGTAGGACTACGTGGTCTTATATATTATTTTTTTCCTTTGGTTTGTTTTATTCCGTCGATCTTGTTTTCCGTGCTGAGCACCAATGCTACCGACGTGCCAGGAAGGCAGCTCCCACACCTGGACCCTACCTATCGACCCATCAACTCATGAACCGGGGACCAACGGCTTTACTTCCCATCCGAAGGAAGGCGTGATCAGAGATGTTATGCCTCAGAACATCCCGGCGGCGCCGACTGGGATTGAACCCAGGCCTGCTGGGGTGAGAGGTAATCACGCTTACCACTACACCACCAGCGCCGTTCCGTGGTCTTATATAATAAATCTTATTTGCTAACTGCAGCAGGAGCTTGTGGTGGCGGGGGGGGGGGACACCCCTCACCATCCTTCTCCAAAGGGGGAGTTTGGTAAAGAGAGGTCCTAGCTCGCTGTTCTAACATCTATATGCAATCTTCACACTGCCGTACTCTAACGGAACTATCAACTCTATGCTTTCATCTACTCCACCTATCGTATAAAAATTACCACTACAGTCTGTTATTTGAAATTAGCATCTTCAACTATAAGGAGCTTGTGTTTTGTATAGGAATTTGAGTGGAGTTCTCTCTGAATAAATTCCGTGTTCTAAGATGTCGAAAAGGTGAGTAAAAGTGTAATTGTGCGAGAATGTCTGCCGAATTTATGCGCATTGAAATAATGTCGTTGATGAAGAAAAGCATTGCAAATTGGCGACGCTCCTTAAGTGTTTGTATATTGATGAGCATGCAGCGCGCTTCATAAGATGGTAATAGAAATGCAGTCCAATTCAATTTACGTAAAGCATATAAAAGGAATTGTTTTTGGACAGATTCTATGCGTTCTTCGTGTATGGAAATGCATGGATTCCATATTAGGTGGCAGTATTCCAGAATTGAGCTTATATATGTGGTATATAATAGCTTAATCGACAGCAAGACATTGAAAGAAGTCATTGTTTACAAAAGCTGTTACGCCCTAATTTTAGCTCTATCTTAATATGGGAACTGACATCCGATTGATGACCTTGACAAATGTCCAAAAATACTCTTTTACAAATTCATGGTGGTCCTGATGGTTGAGTAATGCTGAGCTATTAGGGTGTTAAACATAGATGGTCCACAGCGACTCACGAAGAGCTACTGATTCCGATCAATAGCTGTGCGGCTTCGTCCTCCTTCTATGGATTCTCATGTAGGCTGCAGCTCGTTGCTTGCAGCCAGCCTTTCGTTGTGTACTGGAGAACACCACCACTCACCACGCGATGATTGAATAAACACCGTTTGGTGAGACCGAACGGAATTCAACTTTGAAATCTGTGTTAGAGAAATCGTTTTTCGCAGGCAATCGGTGATAATTTTAATTATCATAGCAACGTTTGTTGCACGTTTGTTCAATTTTCAAAGTCTTAATTTTAGCAGATGCGTAGGAATATTTCTGATCGATTGGTGGTAAAACTATTGAAATTGGTCCAGGGGCAGCTGAGTTATTAACGTTCAAAATCTTTCATAATGTTGTTACATGTTCCATTTTCGGTTTTCGCAAAGTGTACCCCCATATAGAAATCACAGACGTAGTCCTACGTCAAAAGTTAGAACAAGAACTTTTGGTCAAA